TTTGTTTCATCATTTTAAAAAAAAAAAATTTCAAAAATAAAAAAAAAAATTTGTTCCCCCTCTTTTTTTTTTTTTTTTTTTTTTTTTTTTGCTGTGCTATTTTCAGAGGAGTCCATATACTGTTATACACCGCACAACTTCACCCGAGACCAGGCACTTTATGCGAGAGGCTACTGCTGGACAGAGCTTCGTGATGCTATTCCTAATGTGCAGCCTCATCTTTGGCCCTCGCTGTTCGAACATAAATTCCTGCCCTACGCCCTGCTGGCCTTTGCGGGGATTATGTACATTCCTGCTTTGGGTTGGGAGTTCCTTGCCTCTACACGACTCACCTCAGAGCTCAATTTCCTGCTTCAAGAGATTGATAACTGCTACCACCGAGCCGCCGAGGGCAGAGCCCCAAAGATCGAGAAGCAGATTCAGTCCAAAGGACCCGGCATAACTGAGCGTGAAAGGAGGGAGATTATAGAAAATGCAGAGAAGGAGAAGAGCCCTGAGCAAAATCTTTTTGAGAAATATTTGGAGAGACGAGGCCAAAGTAACTTTTTAGCTAAGATATACCTGGCTCGCCATCTGGCTATCATGTGCCTCAGCTCTATCCCCATTTCCTACCTGAGTGCGTACTATGCCCGCCAAAGGCAGAATGAGTTCACCTGTGCGCTAGGCGAGCCTCCGGATACCAGCAGCTACCCAGAGCTGAAGCTTAGAGTCAACTGCAAGCTCCCCGCTGTGCAGCTGCAACGCATCATGGCTGTGGTGGACTTAGCCCTGCTGTGTACCATGAACTTCATCATCCTGCTTAATTTGCTGCATCTGTTTGTGGTGCGCAAGTCTAACTTTGTGTTCGACAAGCTGAATAAAGTCGGAATCAAAACAAAGCGACGGTGGCAGAAGTCTCCGTTCTGTGACATCAACATTCTGGCTATGTTCTGCAATGAGAACAGGGATCACATCAAGTCGCTGAACCGACTGGATTTCATCACCAACGAGAGCGATCTGATGTACGACAACGTTGTCAGGCAGCTGTTGGCTGCACTTGCACAGTCCAATCACGATGCTACACCCACTGTGAGGGAGTCTGGGATACAGACCATCGATCCCAACATGGACCCTTCGGATCTCAGGGTGGGAGACATGGCCATGGAGCCACTGGTCATCAAACGGCCTCGGAAGAAGATTAAATGGATACCGAGCTCAAACCCTCTCCCTCAGCCGTTCAAAGTAAGACAGCGTCTTTCACAAACACCCATGATTTTCCTTACATTTGAGCATTCAGTAAATGTCGCAACAGAATAATTCCAGCAGAACTTTAATGCAACTATGTTGAAAACCACCAGTGCAGAGGTAAAAGTATAATAACTACATTGCAAAGGAGGACAGATCAAAGTGTTACCAGTTCTCAGTACTGTTACCAGTATTCAATACTTTGAATACCCTCACATATAGAACTGCATGTGATCTAAAATTTTTGGTTCTTGAAATGTAAATGTTTAACCCCCGAAAAATAACCAAATACTTCAATGTTTGTCGTGAAGGAACCACACACTTTGACCCGCTTGGAAAACAACACCAAACCTGAAAAGCCTAAACCAGTGAGACGCAAAACCATGGCAGACAGCCTCATAGCACCACTGCTGGACAGTAAAGGCACACAACATCCTGCAGCTAAAGGTATACTGCAGTATCTGTGTGCGTGGCATGGTAAGTGTAGACGTATGGCTCTCAGTATCCTCAGTAAAGGTACGTAAAAAGTATGTACCTTTAGGTTATTCTTTTCCCGCTGTAGCATAATATCCCACATAACGGTGAAAATATTTAAAGTTTTAGTTCTACTTCAAATTTTTAAGTTAGCCAGTTTATGAATTTTTAATACATGACTTTCTATTTTAATTGAGCATAAATATTATGAAACGCAGAGGCCTTATTCTCTTTAACAGGAAAAGCAGAACATGATATACATATAAGACTATTGATCTTCATATGTCAGCTGCTAAATAAGTTGCTTTATGCTTAAAACCTAAAGCCGTACTGATTAAAATGACTGAATTGTTTTAAATGTTGCAGGTGTTTGCACGTTTAAACAGACTAAGTCCATGCTACTCCTATTCATTTGTTCATAAGTTTGTTTACATGTGTTTCCATCTATTTAGATACAAGCACATTGAGCTCAGGTCTCTTTAAGACACCCTAGATCAAGAAAACAGCAAAAAAAAAAAAACAGCAAAAAAAAAAACAAGATAAAATGCTTTTGAGAATAATGGTGCTGAAAGAAAAATATTTTTCTAATGCTCCACTGTACACCTAGCTTTCAAACAGTCACATTAGGTTTATTTTTAAGTCAGAGAGCTTGTTTTCTCATCTGCAGACATCAGTGGGATGGAGAAAAAGCACGCACGAAACTTCTCCCTGGACGTCCATCCATACATGCTGACGAATCGCAAGCCCAAGGTGGAGGCCTCAGTCGTTGAACCGCTACCACCAGAGCACAATCTGGACACAGTTTACCTTGAAGGCACTCACACTATTGTCCATGTGTCTTGTGCAATGACAGGTGGGCTTTACTACAGTTTGTAATTCATTCTTAACAAAGAGCCTTTTCTTATAACCTTTTTGAATCTGCTACTCGATGTATGCCGCATGTCTTTTCAGAAACCAAGGTTATCTCCCCAGTATCGACCACTGCTGCCTTTCCCACAGCAACTCTGCCCTCCGCCACATATGTGAATGGTGTGAGCCCAAACCCTCCCTCTAGCGAGGATGCGCTTAGTCCCAAGTCCTCCCCTGCACAAATAGAGCTTCTGCCCCCAGCGGAGAACCCTGAGCCGCCACTGCTGACCAAAGCCCCCACGCACCAGCTCCTGAGCATTCATCACACTCTTTTTGAAGAAGAAGAGGATGCAGAAAACAGAAGAGGCAGGCTGGAAGAAAGACCTGGGGAGCTCATTGCTGCTGGAGAATGTTGAAAAAAAAAAAATATCCGATTTCTAAGCATACGATCACGATCGCTACAATCTCTTTTTCCAAAAATCGTCCTTTTCTCCTCATAGCAACTTCTGTGATTGGTGGATTATGTCGACTGACGGGATGAAATTCAACAGCGGGATGATAGCACAATGTGTGGTTGTAGGAAAAAGAGGGAGAAATGATGATAACACGTGTGTATTTGTCATAGGAAATGATGTCACCTTCATGCCTCAGGATGACTGTGTTCAGCTGATCACCCACCAATGAAACCAGCAGTGATATATTATTCAACAGGGTGCTAAAGAGCAGGGTAAAACAGCTATGCTAAAAAAAAAAGGTACAAGGTGAAAGAAAAATTAACAAGCTTTTTAATATGAAAAACGAGAGACACCTTACAAATCCATATTAAATAGAAAGACTGCATTACAGCTTAAAACAAAAACAGTATGTATTTAAAACATAACACTTTGTCCCTTTATCCCTCTAGCCAAGTAGAAATGTAGCTCACGCAATACAGCTGTCGAGATCTGCACACTTAATATGCAAATGATCACAATATATATGTGGCAATAATGTATGCGCTTTGAGCATTATACTTCACAAAATGTGTTGGTATATGTTGGGTGTTTCAAATCTAAAATAGTTCCATGGCTTATCATTTTCATCTCAACATTGCCATTGATACTTCACTGTATGTGCACATCCTTTATAATAGCAGGATGACTAGTTATATGATTGTGAGACGGTAAATGGTAATGATAGAGGTATAGTGCCTTGCAAAAGTATTCATACCCTTTAAACGTTTTTGCAAATTTTACTCGCTTCATTCCAATTTTTGTGGTAGAATAGAATGCGGAATGCAAAGAAATGCACAGGAGTGGAAGGAAAAGGATACCTGGTTTCAATACTCTTCTAATCTAACATAAAAAGTGTTTCATGAATTGGTATTCACACTCTGAAGTTAATACTTTATAGAACCACCTTTCACTGCAGCCACTTTTTTAGCTATTACTTTGACCATCAAGAGATTTTTACATTTTTGCCCATTATTCTTTGCAAAATAGCTAAAATTGAGTGAAATTGGACAGACCACCTGAAGACATCAATTCTCAAGACTTGCCACCATTTCTCAACTGAAGTTACTGTAGGTCAGGACTTTGATCATCATCAATGTAACTTAGGAATATGATTTGATTTGAAGCAATATGCTAAGACTGTAGCTGTATGTTTCTTGTTTTCCTGCTGTAAGGTTAACGTCTGTCCCAGTCTCAAATCTTTGCAGCCTTTGACAAGTTGTCGAGTTGTACTAACTTTTATTGAGCAAAATTCACGTTCCCATCAACCAGATTTGTGCATGATTTACAGTTGACCTACTGACAGATTCTCCCACCCGAGCGGTAAATCTCTGTAGCTCTTTCAGAGCAACTATGTGCCTTTTCGCCCCTTCACTGATTAATGTCTGCCCAATTAATGCTTACTCGTCCTGTCAGATTTTCAAATGCGCCATACTTTTTTCATTCTCAGATTATGGATTAAAAAGTGCCTGGTTGTAAGAAGTTTGTAAAGTATATTATTTAACCTAACCCTTCATTTTATCCATCGCCACCTTCCTGTCCCCTCCTGTGTCTGGTGCATTTCTTGGTTTAAAAAGGCCACACTTTTATTTCCGTAACAACATATAAAAAAAAAAAAAAAATGGAGAAACACGTAGATTTTTTCCATTTGAAAATTCTACATTGTTGGTCAATCACATAAAATCCCAATAAACCCAATGAAGTCTAACTAGATAAAATTGTAAAAAAAAAAAAAAAAAAAAAAAAAAAAATTATTTTTGGGGGGGCCAGTGTTTTTTTAATACAGTATGGGGGGGAAG